ATCTCGCGACAAGCTTTTATATCATAAATTGTGTAACGATTTTATAATTTAATAGGAAAAAAATTTTTAAAAGAAAAGTTTATTTTATTCTTTTTAGAGCATTTAAATAAAAGCTTGTATTTAATTTTTTTTTTTTTTTTACTTTTTTGTTATCGCTGGACAGAAGTTTCTTAGTCTGTTAATCTCATTCAACGCATTATTGTTGCAAGGTCATTTGCCAATTAATTTTGAACAGTCCAGCTAAGGGGTACTCAACCTTTTTTCCCGCCAGGCCACATATATATGATAAATATTTCACTCGGACCGCAGCAAGAGGATAATTAATGGAAAGGGGGAAGACCAAAACAACATTGAACAAATCAAAATTAATTAAAATATTAAAACTCCTTTTTTTTTTTTTTTTGCTTTTACTATAATACTATATTAAAAACGAAAAACACATTTTTTTTTTAAGTCCGTAATTTTAAACTCATTATTTCAATTTTTGAGCAGAATTTGCATAATACTATTCTACAAATGAAAACATATTTTCGTGCGATTATATTTAAAAATAACGAACTTTTTTAATGTTTGATTAAAAACTTAAGTATTTTTTGAAAAATCGTAAAAAAAAGTTAGGCATTTTATTTTAAATGAGTGATTCTAAAAGAGAAAACCCTGAACTTTCTAAGTGCAGAATATCAATTCAATAACGCGAAAAAAAAAATTCGTGCGGAACGATTTAGAAATCATTTCATGAAAACGCATCGACTTTGACTCATTTTGGACAAAAATTGTAAAATAGAAACTATCATTATTTTTTAAAAAGAACTATACCGTTTGTAAGATTCTACCAGAAAAAATTACTTTAATTAATATCTGCACTATTGAAGTTCGAAGGCAAAAAACGTATGCGACTATAAAACTAGGTGTATCTCCTCACGAACCACACGACGCAAAACTCGCCGACGGTACCAAAAGATAGGAATGATTCAAGTAATCCGTTTTGAACATTTATATTCCAAAAGGGGAATTGGTTAAAAAGATATTAATTAAAAATCTTAAAACGCATAATTATTGCCATTTTTCCCGCCAGGCGGCAAATTTCCAATTTGTTGACTTTTTTTTTATATACCAGACGCTTTTAAAACATAATCTAATTTTTTTTATGAGACTCAGACAAAAAAATAGTTACAGCATCGGAAAGATCATTTACTTACTTTACGGTATAATTTAATTTACAAAATAATCATATTTTCTATTTTTAACGACTTTTTCTAAAATCAGTCAAAATCGATACGTTTTTATGAAAATGATTTGTAAATCCTTCCGATTGCATTTTCTGACACGTTCATGAAATGATATTCTACACTAATAAAATTCATACTTTTCTCTTTTAGAATCAGTTATTTAAAAAATAAAATGACAAAAAAGTTTTTTTTACGACTTTTAAAAAAATACTCAAATTTTTATTAAAATAATAATTTCTTTAATTATAAAAAATTATCTCATGAAACATTTTTTTCCGTGTGTAGAACAATACTTATTGTTAACTGTACAAAGATTGAAAAACTGCGTAAAAATTAGAGTTAAAAAAAATGTGTTTACTTTTTTTCCTTTTTTGCGACAAATATTTAAGCATTCTTTTTGTTACATTTTTTGTTTAAAAATTACCAATGTTTGTAATCATTAGATGAAGTCTGAAGACATTAAACTTAAAATTGAAGCAACAAAATTTTTTTTTAACTTTAATAACTAACGCAATGCAAAATTAAACATCTTTTCCTTTTATTTCAACGGTCTTTTATTTATTTTTTCAGAATATTTCGTGGATTTGTCGCTTAGAGCGCTGGATTAGTAACTTTTGTACTTCAGTTCGAAACAAAATCATCGTTTAGTTTGTATGATTTTTTTAAAAAAATACTCAAACATTTATTCGCGAATTTAATATTTTCTCCAGCGATTTTGTAACTGGAAAGATAATTTATTTCGTCACGATGCAGTATTTTTTTTTAAACAAAATAACGATACTTAACATTTTTTATGATTTTTTTTCAAAATGAATCAAATTCGATGCGAAAATGATTTTTAAAAAACTTATACTTTGATCTTTTACAGTTAATGATTTTAAATTTTTTTTTATTGATTTCATTTGTGCAATAATTCATTACTTTTTGTGCCACTATATGGTTGCATGTGTCAAGCTGCTTAAGAAGCGGTGAATGGTCACTTATTTGAGAGCTCTTCTAGCGAGAGGAGAAGGGGAATTTTTCCGAGACAATAGGTTATGCATTTAAAAATTTTCGTGCAACGTGAGGGGGGGGGGGCAATAAAACTGTCTGGCAAAGAAAATAAGCGAAAAAATTTCGAAAAAGGGAATTTTAAGCTAAACACTTGGAAAAAGTCCTGAGCAACGCAGGGCTAAGTGTAGGAGGGAGAAGGGGTGGAAGTCATTTTGAAAAAGATTATTAGAAGTGCTGATTTTGTGAAGGAAAGGGAAAATTTATAAAAAAAGAGAATGCCCGTGCAGCGCCGAGCCATGCAGCTAGTCTTTTTGATTAATTGCGATATTGGGATATAAATGGTCAAAACATGTAATGTCATCCAAACTAAACGTGTATACAAAATTTCAGCTCAATCGATTGAAGACATCAGATTCCAAATTGAATTACAAGATTCCTCTAAAACATTTTATTTTGCAAGTTAAATAAAAGCTTGTAAAAATATAGCATACTTTGTACGTATGCTGAGTGGAAATATTATAAAATATCTAGTTGTACAAATCAAACGAATTTCAAAAATATTTTACACGAAAAAATAACTATTGTAGGCGCGGGGTATTGATCCGCGTAACTCTTGCATGCTAAGCAAGCGCTCTACCATCTGAGCTACGCCAAACGTCGATACCTGCGATATTGGAAATATGCTCGCCTTAACACCTGAAAAAGATCGTTACAGTGACTAAGTCAATTAAATTGTTACAGGAGAAACTAGAATCGATTAAATAGATATCATAGAGTGTTTTAAAGTAAATAGAAATTGCTTGATAGATCTGCCTTTCTTACTTTTCCCTCTAGAACAGTAAAAACATAACACATTTTGTACGTATGCTGAGTGGAAGTATTGTAAACTTTCCCGTTGTACAAATCAAACGAATTTCAAACATATTTTACACGAAAAAAATAATAATTGGATGCGCGGGGTAACGATCCACTTACCTCTTGCATGCTAAGCAAGCGCTCTACCATCCGAGCTAGGCCCCCGTTCGAAAACTTTGTTATTGTAAACACGGTTTCCTTAACACCTGAACAAGATCGTTTCAGTAACTAGGTCGATATTTGAATATAAATCGTCAAAATATGCATTGTCATCCAAACTAAACGTGTATACAAAATTTCAGCTCAATCGGTTGGAGACATCAGCTTCAAAATTGAGATACAAGATTCCACCCAAACAAACTACTTTAATTAATATCTTTTTAACTAATTGCGATATCGGAATATAAAGGATCAAAACATGCATTGTCATCCAAACTAAACGTGTATACAAAATTTCAGCTCAATCCGTTGAAGACATCAGCTTCAAAATTGAGTTGCAAGATTCCACCGAACGTTTTACATTGCAAGTTAAATAAAAGCTTGTAATTACAAGAATCGGTTATATTATAAAAATCGGCCATTCCACCCTTAAAATTATAAACTCTATTTATACTTAAGAATTTTGTTTTGTAATACTTTATAAACTTTTACTATACTACGATAAAAGAATACTAAATCGTTTTTCTTTACGTGTACAATCGACTAGATCAGGGGTAATCAACCCTTTTTCCCATCAGACCGTATACAAATGATAAGTATTTCGTGTTGGCCGCATACACATGACAGGTATTTCATGCGAGCCGCAACATGCGAAAAATGGAATATGCATTCTGTAAAAAGCAACATTGGCAAACAAAATAATTCAAAGTATCCAACTAATTTTTGGCTTTTATTTTAATACTGTATTAACTTTTTCTTTCAAAAACACCGACAAAATATTTGTTTTGATGAATTTTTACTGAGTTTTCGGATAATTTCTATTTTCGTTCATGTATGACCAAGCCTCTTGTTTACATTCTACGATGATAAAAGAAAGTCTGTGTGCTTATGACCACAAGATATGAGTGATAACTTCATATTTTGTAATGTCATTTCAGGAATTAGTTAGGTGAGAGAATAAAAAACAAGGGTATATTAGTATTGTTCTATAAAATAATTTACTCATATGTCTGTACAATCATAAAGTAACATTTTTGTGCCAAATATATTATGGGAATATATTTGAGAGAATTAATTGTATTCTAAGAAGGAACGAATAGGTTTATGGTAGCTGAAATAGTTTATAAATCCTTTAGATTCAAAATTTTATTTAAATATCTATAAAAAAAATTCCGTCAAGCGTCGTTCCGCACTTCCTAGTGCTTCATTTAGATAATTTGACATAATTAAACTGAATTTTTATTTTAAGAAACCAACTAAAGGTTTCGATTTGTCTTTTGAAAAATCTACTTTAAAATTCCTACTTAAAATCATAGGTAAATTGTTCAGATCCGGCTTTGTGAATTTTGGTTGTAATTTATCAATATTCAATTCTATTCATGAATTAATTGAAGCAAAGGGATGGTAAGACAGATAGTTGATTGGAAAGAGAAGAATCTAGGTTAAAAACTTTAAAAAAGTATTTAATCAGAAGATTTATATCGCATAATCTCTGGCTTATACTAGCTCTTTGTCATTGTAAGACAATTTTGCACAAATATATCCGGTGCTGCTGCAAGGAAAGTCTTCTTAACTAAATTTTGTTATCTTGTATTTAAATTATTTACTGTAACTTTTTCTTAATACCTGTATTCTTAATTTTGTTATTTTAAATTCTTAATTGTTTTAATTTTCTTTTTAGACTCAAAGTATATTTAAGTAATGTGATTAATAGAACTATTTGTTCATTTCTATTCCGATTCGCTTACAAAAATAGATTTTTATTCTTGAGATCACTGCAACATTACTAATGATAATTATACTATTTATCTAGTTCCATAAAAATTTGCCTTTTTTCTACATTTTATGTTTAATTTTAGTATAGGATTTCTCTTTCTCTCTAAACCTTTTTTTTTTAAAATATTACATCTCATTTTCCTGCTTCAACTAGGATTAGAAGTATCCCGCTTTCATTTCTTGTAGAAAGCGGTCGCGGGGGAAGGGAGACCCCACTTAGTTCGAAACTAGGAAATTTACTTTTACGGCGTATTGGTGGGGGGACAAGCATCCCGTTTCAGAATGGCGGGGGAAAATGTCCCTTCTTTCCTTTTTAGGTTCCTCCTTGCCTTTTCCGACTGAAGGCGAAAACTGCCAAATGAGCGTTACATTCCCGAGAGTGACTTTCAGTCAATTTCATTCTCCTGCAAATCGCGCCAATAGAAGTTATCGCTTTAAAAATTGATACATTGGATTGCTTAATTGATAAAATTTCCTGGTAACTTTTTTGTACATTGTTCTCCAATAATTGAAGTCCTTAGTGCAATGGGCCACTCAAAAAAGACCGGTGGGCCGCAGGTTGAGTATTACTGTAATAGATTCTAAATATTCTATTGTTTGTTCTACCGGGTTCAACAGAACAGCTTTATTCACGTTAATACGGTGTTTTTGCACAACTCAATAGTTTTCTAATGGAAAATGCACCTTTTTTCATTTGTGGATAAAAGCACCTATGATGGAGAGGGAACAACTTATTGACGCATCAAAAGATTCGACGCTAAAATCTGCATTTAAGCAAGAACAGCTCTGGAATTTTAGGTTGCAATTTCATACAAAATGCATAGGATTTCTACGAAAGTTATAAACGAATTAATGCCGTTGAGAACAAAGTATCAGAACTACATCAATCGAAAAAGCTTGAAAGCCACTTTTAGACCTTTCTCATGGTTAAGATTCAACGCTATTTTAACCCCCTCCTCCCATAATAGAGGTAGTATTTCATTTCTCAGTTTTGCGACTGTGACCTTCCAAAATCCCTATTTTTATTGCATTTTCCCTACAGAGAAAGTGGTGGATTCTGTTGAATAAAGTGCGCTACAAAGAGAAATGTATTGCCTTTTTCGAAATCTTAAGACACATTTTTTTGCAAAAGCCTTGAAATAGCCTCCACCGTGTCGTGTAAGGTATTAAAATCAAAGCCGTATTGCCCCTTAACGCCTTGGAAAGTAAGTTT